TTTATTATTGCCAACTTTAGCTTTATTGGCTGGATGCTCTATAAAGATAATTGCAGTGATAAAGCATGTGGGGAGAATTTCCTTTTCAAAACTCTTTTAATTGTGTTTGACCTGGTAAACATAGTCTCTTTCTTTGACTTCTAATTATCTCTTGTGGGGTATGGGAAAGAAAACCTCAACTGTTGCAAATTTAGGACTCGCTTGAACGTACTATTTCAAACAATATCCACTTTTTTTTTGTGCTCGTATGAGACATTTAAGTTCATGAGTGTTTTTTCACCAATTTACAGAGTATGTTGATTCTGTGGTCTGTGAACTTTTTACAGTTTTTTGTTTCTTTAGAAATTGTCATTTGGGTTTTGGATAAGTAGAAAGTTCTATGAATGCTTTCAATATTTAAGTCCAGATGAATTAATTAATTATTTTCGAAATGAAGGATTAGTGATTTATAACCTGTTGATTATTAGTCTTGTGTTCAATTGAATGAAAAAGGTGAGAGGTTTACTTTATTTTGTTTTGAGATTGATGTTAGAGATTATGATGCCCATTTTATAACCCTAATTGTAGTATAAATTTAATATCAGTTATATTCAATAATATAAGTGTCATTTATAACTTTTTAAAACTGGGTCAGATTTGAACCCAAAAGTTTTCGTATGCTTTGTTGGTTGACAAAAACCGGATAAAAAATAATGATGTTTGTTTTAGTTTATTTTTTAGGACTTTAAACTGATTTAGTTATTGTCAAAATCAGTTTAAAGATTAACTTTAACTCATTTTTAATGAGTTGCTAACTACAATCAGCTAAACAATGTCTGCTGAAAGATACGTAGAACGAAAGGTGCTTGACCAATATTTTGTTTGATTTTGAAGGAATATTTTGTTTGATTTTGGTGAAGATGTAACTAGCAACAAGCATTTTGTTTGATTTTGACGGAGATGTCCCATACAAAACTACAGCTGACATTTATGAAAATTGAGCTGGCGAGCCGTCTTTTTGGAACTCAATATTTTAGCTTATAGTTTATTGCCAAATGTACTTTATTTTAAGTAATCATCTGTTTGGTTTTTGACATTCATATGTGTCATCCATTTCCAGTTATTAAATTTTGACAGGTTCTACTAACAAATACTTGTACTTTTTATTGGTAACCAAGTACTAATATTGACTTGATCAAAACCATGTTCTTGATACTTATATTTTTAACTCTTTTAGACCCAAATAGATGCATGCATCATAGAAATAAAAAAGTAGGAAACTATTATATTAAAATTGATCTAACATTGCTAAGGGAAAATGAATCAAGTAGATCATGTCAAATTATATTCTGAGTTATTGTGGATAGGATAGGTATAGAGTAATGCTTACAGTAGTCAAAATTTGATCAAGTAGTGCCAAACACTATACTTGAAATGCCATTTTCCAAAATATAGTCTCCTTCTACAAACATACATGCTTTGGTATCTTTTAGAATTTGAATCAAATTAGATTGATATATTATTATTTTTAAATAGTTTAATAATTGTCCTTTTTGCACATAACCAGTAGAAAGTTTAAAATGATATAATTTTTTTACATATAGATTATGATGAGTGTAAATTATGATGGATGACCCTGATCATCATTCCAGGTGGCGTATTGGTCCATCCTAAGGTGACACCTTAGATTCCCACCTAAGGACGCGACCTAAAATCACATCATTCCCTTTTTTTTTGCGATCCGCTCCATTGAACTTGATCTACACGTTCTTAAACCTAAACACATCAATTTCGGGGTGAACTCATCGTGTTTTGACCATTCGTTGAGCCGTGCAAAAAACTTTATTCATTCGAAACTGTTAAAATTGCGGTGAGTGGATGAAGGGTCAAAACACGATAGATTCACCCCAAAATTGGTGTGTTTGAGTTTAAGAACATGTAGATCAAGTTCAACGGAGCGGATCGCAAAAAAAAAAAGGGAATGATGTGATTTTAGACCGCGTCCTTAGGTGGGAATCTAAGGTATCACCTTAGGAAAACATTTCCCATATATATATATATATATATATATATATATATTTTGAATCTTGGAATTAACTACTTTGGTGGTTTTAAGACATAACTACATTGGGTAGTTATGAACTCCTTAATGGTTGGAGTTATATAAAGAGAGTCACTTGTCCACACACAATGTATGATCAATAATCAAGTCCTATGATAATAATCCATCATCTCGGTTTTGTGTGTGGAGTGGACAAGGAAGAACAATTATCGGTAATTCGGTGTTAATTACATTCAACAATGGAAGAAGGTATGTACCATTTTATTCAATCTCGTTTTAGTATGTAAACGAGTGTTAAATTCTGTTAATCATGCTATAAGAAATTCTTACAATTGGTATCAGAGCCATTATATGTTGCAAGTTTGTTGTTTTCCCGAATTTATTTTGGTACAATTTATTTTCTGTACTATTGAAGGTTTTATAGAACTTGAAATCATCTTTTACTAATTAATAAAGTAGCCTAGTGGTAAGAGTTTTGAGTGAGGAATTCAAGGTCATAGGTTCAAATCCTCCCATATTAATATATATTGACAAGGGCCTTGGGGGTCTTGACCCTAATTTAAAAATAAAATCCAAAATTTTTTCCCCTCTTCTTACATTGCAGTTCCAAATCTCCATTTTGAACAAACTGCCTACATTTTAGTTTAATTTTCTTTTGGATTGAATGATTTTATAATGATTGTTTTAATGGAATTAAGTTTTAAACTTATAGAATGGCCACAGAATCTATAAGTCTTGAAAAATATATGTTATATCTCATTATTAAAGATGTTAATTCAATCCAGAGTTACAATTATATTTACATATATCTCTGCTATACCCCACAGGGAAGTAATGATCTATGTAAATTTATTGGGTTAAGAAAGCATATTTGTTTATAATGGGGAAATTTTTTATACCCACAGGTATGGAAATTTTCTTTCATTATAATCAAACTTTTGTTGTTCTTAATTAAAGACTAAGTAATGAATCTATGCATTTTAGGACCTCTACCCATAGGAAGGTTAAAAGTCATTACTTTGAATAAAGTTTAATATTCGTAGCATTAATTTTGTTTCATTTCAATACAGTTGTTCCTGTTTCTATAGTTAATGAAGTCCCGATTCTAAGCGGTGATAATTTTTCAGATTGGAAGGACAAGATCCTTCCAAAATTGGGCTGCTTAGATCTAAACTTTGCTCTCCATAAAGAATGTCCTTCTACTCACACGAAGACTACAGAACCAAGTAAGAAGGCTGAATTTGAAAAATGGGAGCATGCAAATCGTCTCAGTATGATGCTTATGAAATCCCATATTAGTCGAAGTATTCGGGGATCAATTCCTGAATTTGATAAGGTAAAGGATTTCATGAAAGCAATCAAGGACCAATTTATTGTTTGTGACAAGGCTATGGCTACAACCTTGATTCAGAAATTCACAAATGTGAAATATGATGCTCGTAAGAGTGTGTGCATGCATATTATGCAAATAAGGGATATTGCTTCTCAACTTAAGCTTCTAAAAATTGATATATCTGAATCATTTCTAGTGCATTTCATACTTTCTTCACTTCCAGTGGAGTATGGAACTTTCAAGATCTCTTCCAATACACACAAAGAGAATTGGTCCGTAAATGAACTCCTAATCATGTGTGTTCAAGAAGAAGAAAGACTTAAACATGAGGTTATAGAAAGTGTAATATAACAACTCATGATAAGAAAAATGCATTTAAAGGCAAAAATGGATTTGATCTATTAAAGGTTATAGGAAAACAACCTATGAAGTTCAAGGGTAAGGGTCCAAAGTGCTTCTTCTGTAAAAGAGAGGACACGCTAAGAAAGATTGCTTGAAATACAAGAAATGGCTCGCGAAGAAAGGTAATATCATATCATATGTTTGTTTCTAATCTAATTTTAGTCATGTTCCTAATAATACTTGGTGGATTGATTCTGGTTCATCAATTCATGTTGCCAATACTATGCAAGCGTTTCTAACCCAACGGACGCCGACGGCAAGTGAGTCGGGCATCTATTCAAGAAATGGGATACGGTCACTTGTAAAGACCGTGGGAACATATCGAATTATTTTAAAATCTGGTTATGTAATTTATTTGAAAAATGTGTTATATGTACCTTCATTTTCAAGAAATTTGATTTCTGTATCAAAACTAAGTATTTGTGGTTATGAAATTAATTTTAATGTTAATGGATTTCTTTTATATAAATGTGAAGTTTGTATTGGTTCTGGAATATTATCTGAAAATCTTTACAAGCTTGATTTAGACACAAACTTTGAAAATATTTTGCTTTCTTTAAACGTCGATAATGTTG